AGGTAACAACAATCATTACAGTTCCTGATTTCTACATACCAGCTGGAGTTCCTCTGCTCACCCAGAAATGTGACTGAGTGGTCCTCTTTGCTCTTACTTGCTTTCAGTTGTTTTGTTTTGAAAAATTTTGAATGTGGGGGATAATGACCAGGCGCTTTAATTGTTCTTTGGGTAAGTCCTTTGTGCAACACTGTGTGCGGAGCACGTTAATCCAGGGAAATGGCTTTAATCTCAGCCACGTGCAGCACTTGAGGAGATCAGTGAGTGAAGGGGAAGGTGTTTAATGTTTGATGGGGGCCTGACAAGAACAAAGTTCCATCACCTGCTATTTCACTGAAGTTCTGATATCCGTGGCTTCACACGTATTTCTTCCCTCACTGCAATGGATGTATGAGCAAAGTTGGCAGAACGGGATCATTAGGGGGAGACAGTGTAAGCAAAAAGCAGCCCACTGAACCCACAGCTTTTGTTAGAAATACATCTTTGTTAGGGATTCAGACGAAGTTCTAAGAAGCTTAGGTAGAAGAAAGGGGGATACAGAGTTAAAGGATTATTTTTTTCAGTCCTGTTCAGGTCTTTTCAAAACTCAGATCTTCTTTCAGTCCTTTGTGTGTTTTTCTTTTTGTTGAACTTTTTCTGAACAAAGTATGTGAAATATCCAATTCCTAATACCTTATAAAATCCTTTTTTATTAGAAAAACAAACTGTAACACTTAGTCTCATGGTGTATTATCTGCTGGCTGCTTTACTACCAAGACCTTTGGAGAGTATAGCTTATTTGTCCTTCGCTAGCTTTTTTTTTAGGAATGTGCCTGTTGTGATGGGATGCCAATTGCAGCATTCCATCTCCCTGTCTTGCTGCTTATATCAAAATTATATCAGAATCAAGGACTTCCAAAGAGAGCCAGCCCTCTGTTGAATGAATTATAAGTATAGCAAGAATATAAGCTCACTGAAAGCAGCCAGTTAGCCCTCGGGGTGTGTCTAAAAAGAATCTGATTTACACCATCCTCCGTGGCCACTTCATCTTTTTGATGGACATGTTAGCAAAGGGACCAGACCTGCTGGTACTGGCAAGCTGACACAAGGCAGCTTTCTTCTTGGACCTGGCAATGTCATCATTAAGTACTTATTCCTGATAGCAGATCTGAGCACTGAACGCAGTGGCTATGCCTCCAAAGTGTTGACTGAAATGACAGTTCCATCTGG